TGTGCAAGTGCTATGTATGTCACTAGTCAAATTGACATAGCTATTTTACATATAATTTCTTTGACAATTGTATGTAAAATTTTCAGATTACCAAACAATGAAGAAAAAAGAAAAGTATGGATAGACAATTTGCAATTGAATCAATGCAAGCTTTACAAAGGATGCCGTGTATGCTCGCAACATTTTGGAGAAGAGATGTTTGATAGAACATCTGCATGTGGTCGTGTTCGGTTGAAACCAGATGCAATTCCATACTCAGTAATTTTTTTGAATGTTTGAATTTATTTTATATCTTTTTGAAAATATTTTTAGAAATAATAAATATATAATATTTGTTTCTAGAGCGAGGAAACTGTTTCAACTAGGACGAAAGATACTCGTNTAAATGTAACTGACGAAATTCTTCCAGTTACAAGAAAAAGAACTGTAGAGAATAGTATAGATGTGACGGACACAAGTGAACCAAAACGTCGGATTATCTCTAATTCTTCACTTACGATCAAGCAAGGTAAGACATCTAAATAAAATAATTTTATAAAATGTCCTAAAAGATATTACTGAACAAAATTATTAATAATTAATAAATAATTACATAATATATAATATATACAAATATATAACAATAATTAACAAGTAATATAATAACAATAACAATATAATAACAATAACAAATAATTAATAATTATTACGTTTTTTTAGAATCTGAAGAAATCATAGTCGAACGACCTTCCACACCTAAACAGTATATTGATTGTGCAACATCTGTATCTCCGACACTTGGCGAAAATTCACCAAGAAAGATTTTTCTGCGTACAGTTATAGAAAATCAAAAACAAGAATACAGGAAGAAAATTTACACACTGCAGCAAGCAAACCGACGAAAGGACCAGCATATCAATCAAATGCAGGAAATCATTTCAGGATTAAAAAAGAAGAATTTCATGCCAAGTGAGCAATTACAAGTGTTAGATGATTTGGGAAAATGCAACGCTGATTTATTAAAACGACAATATTTCAAAACCCNAAAAAAATCACTGCCTAGGCAATATAGTCCTGAATTAAGACGCTTTGCCATAACGCTACATTATTATTCGCCTCGTGCTTATTTATACGTACGACAAAAATTTCACACTTGCTTACCGCATGCAAAAACTATATCAAAATGGTACAAGTCTGTTAACGGAAAACCAGGATTCAATATTGAAGCATTAGAAACCATTTCTAAGCATGTAAAATCTGTAGATTATATACTTTTCGGAGCACTCATTTTTGATGAAATGTCTATTCGTCAGCATGTTGAGTTTAATGGGACAAAATTTTGTGGGTACGTTGATTTAGGTCCAAACGTTGAAACGGATAATACTACTGTAGCTAAAGATGCGTTAGTTTTTTTAGTGAATGCTTTAAATGCATGTTGGAAAATACCTATCGGTTATTTTTTGATTGCTTCTATAAATGCAGAGCAAAAAAAAAATCTCGTCTTGCAAGCTCTTTCTCTATTGCATGAATGTGGAATTAAGATAGTATCCGTAACATTTGATGGAACTGCCACTAACTTACAAATGTGCTCACAATTAGGATGCTCACTTGAATTACAATCTTTCCAGACGCACTTCCAACATCCAGTTTCAGCTGAAAATATTGTTATATTTTTGGATGCGTGTCATGATCTTAAATTGGTAAGAAACGTATTAGCCGACAAAAAAGTTTTGATTGATCATGAGGGCAATTTGATTGAATGGAAATATTTTTTGCTACTCGAGGAATTGCAGCGCCAAGAAAGTTTACATTTAGGGAATAAACTTACAAAAAATCATGTGAATTATAAAAATCAGATAATGAAGGTAAAGCTAGCCGCTCAATTATTTAGTCGATCTGTTGCCGATGCTTTAGAATTATGTAAAAGCGACTTGGAATTGCCAGCATTTAAACATGCAAAAGCAACAATCAAATTTATAATAATCATTAACGATTTGTTTGACATATTAAATTCAAAAAATACTAAACAACCCGGTTTGAAAAGTGCAATACATTCTACTAATTTTGCGACCATACAAGAGGTTTTAGAGAATGGGTTTAATTACATTACACAACTGAAGTTAACTAATGGCCAATTAGTTATTAGAAGTTTGAGAAAAACTGGTTTTCTGGGCTTCCTTATTTGTATTACAAGTATTCAATATTTGTATCAGTTTTTGTGTCAAGATAAAATGATTTTATCATGTATCCCCACTTACAAGTTCAGTCAAGACCATCTTGAACTCTTGTTTGGTTGCATCCGATATCATGGAGGTTGCAACAATAACCCAACCGCACGACAATTAGAAACAATCTTTAAGAAATTGTTAGTAAATGCGGAAATAAAAGAGTCGGCAACAGGCAACTGTCTGTCTCTTCAAAATGTTAACATTTTACATGTGTCAAGCAGCTCGGAAAAAATTCTTAATATAACTACTCCTCATGCGCACATGATTGACATTGCAAATAATGAATCGATTATCACCGATCATTCGTATTTGCCGAACATGGGAATAACTGAATTATCGGAGAGAATTATTGTTTATATAGCAGGATTTGTTGTAAGACACTTAAAAAAAAAATTATTATGTGAAGATT